AGGCATCAAGGGCTCGCTAATGTCTCTGCTCAGCAGACAGCAGCTGCAGTGCAGCTGCCGCCAGCTGTACGTACACCTGAATGCTGAGGCGATACGCCCCCCTGCAGGTCCTTCTTCAGCTAGCTGCCTAGCTAAGAGATGCCAGCAAGCTACGAACGGGCTACTAGGTGGCTAGTACCTAGCTACCAGCTAGCTACCAGCTAGCTACCAGCTAGCTGCAAGCTAGCTACAAGCTAGCTACCAGCTGGCTACCAGCTAGCTACAAGCTAGCTACCAGCTAGCTGCAAGTTTGCTACCAGGTAGCTAGTGGCTAGTTTCTCTCGGTATCCAGGACAATAGAGCGGATCCAAGCGGCCTCCGTTTATTCATTGACCCCGTCATAAAAACAAATTAAAAACGTCGACAGGAAAACAGGCAAAATGATGCGCGCGGACAGGGGGAGGGAACGCCAACCCCTGCAGGTCCTTCGTTAGCTAGCTAGCTAGCTAGCTAGCTGGCTAGTTAGTTAGCTAGTTAGTTAGCTAGCTACCTGCCTAGCTAGCTAGCTAGCTGCGTGCCTAGCTAGCTGCATGGCTAGCTAGCCGCATAACTAGCTACCCGGATGAATTGGCTAGAACGACGCGAGATAACAACACCGAGACAGCCTTCCCTTCAGCAACTGCTTCACTTGAAGCCTATGCAGCAGCAGCAGCAGCAGGAGCCAGCTGAAGTCACAGCAGCAGCGGCTGCACTCCCCGTGCACGAGCTGCAGTTGCAGCCCATCAAAAACAACGCCTCTAGGAGCTTGCTCCTCCTGCCCCACTAGCTGCTACTTTTGCAGCAGCTGCTGCTTCAGCTGCTGCTCAACTTCTGTTGCTGCGGTTTCAGCTGCTGCAACGCTACCAGCAGCAGCCGCGGTGGCAGCAGCAACAGCACAGGCAGTAGCAGCAGCTGCCTGGCCGGTATCTTCGGCACCACCCACATTCCCTTCATCTTCTGCTCTGGCGTCTCTTCAGCTCACCCCAACGCCACAGCAACAGTAGCAAAAAGCTCGATGGAAATGGTGCTGCTGCTGCCACTGCTGTTGTTGCTGCTGCTGCTTCTGGTCTTGTTCCTGCTGCTGCGGCGGCAGCGACTTTGGCAGCAGC